GTTAAGTTTAGTAGTCAAACATAATGAAATCAACTAATGAGCTAAATATACTTGGTGAGACCTCAGCAAGTTGCGATCCTATTCGCAATCTCCACAAAACAACAAAAGAGCAAGCATAAATCAAGCGTATAGCATCAGTTCTGGCAGGTAACGTTAGTCAAGCTTGCATCAGCTGACTGTCAGCTGATCACGTCTACCTATAGGAATACGACGTCTATCACAGCATACATATATATAGCTCCTCAGTATTATCAGCTGCTATCGCGTTCTCCAGAGCTCATTTACCCTCCTCCATCCCCAGCTCCTCCTCTTGTACAGTCAGGATTTGGTATTCTAATTCCCCTTGAATCAGACTAAATTCCTGAATTATTTTGTACATTTAATACCAACATTAATGATATCTGCAATGCATTATGTTGGTTCTGTTCTGTTTACCCTTAGAGGGGTTATTGCTGCTCTCCCTGCTCTTATCCATGCTAGGCTGCATGGATGCACAGGGAGTTCTTGCCCACAACAGAACCATACCGCCAATCCAAACTATATGCTAATAGTCAATCAATCATCTTTGACGATAGTGGTACTGACAGAATTATAATAATGTGATTAGGTTGTCTGAGAGAACTGAGGTTGTTTCATTGTATTGAGACTATAAACCTACGCTCTACAAACAGGACTGGTTGAAGGGGAGTGGGTGAGTGCATTTTCTTTTAAAACTTTGACAATGTCAATCAAGACATTAAAGCATGGAGGCCTTCAAGTTACTTATGAACCATACCGCCAATCCAAACTGTATGCTAATTGTCAATCATCTTTGACGATAGTGGTTCTGACAGAATTTTAATAATGTGATTAGGTTGTCTGAGAGAACTGAGGTTGTTTCATTGTATTGAGACTATAAACCTACGCTCTACAAACAGGACTGGTTGAAGGGGAGTGGGTGAGTGCATTTTCTTTTAAAACTTTGACAATGTCAATCAAGACATTAAAGCATGGAGGCCTTCAAGTTACTTATTAGGCTATTTAGGCTTCGTTCTCCTTTATATGTTGCTGTTTTTTATGTTCTTGTTGCATTCTATAAACCCTTACTATTAAAATTGCTAGTAAAGCCGATGAACTCTGATAGAGATCCTTTTTAAATAGGTTTTAACATATACCCTCACTTTATGTAATTTGTGACAATATCCCAAAGTAGATAATGTTTTTGAAGAGTGGGTTGGTAAGGAGCAAGTGTAGTTAGTTATATTTGGAGAAATGAGATTCCTTTATGCATGTTGTTGATGTTAAAAGTCCAGGTCACTTCTAAAGGTAGATTTTATGGGCTATGGACCAGTAAAATGTATCGTGTTTGATCAGAAAGTGAGAGAAGTGATTAAACTTCTTTCTCTGTAATGCTTTTATTGTTAAACATTTTGACCAGTGATAATGTTCAATCAATTGGAACAATAGAGTTACTCTGAAAAGGCTCTTTTCTCAGGTCATGTATGATCCGGTGCAGTGGGCAATGGCAGACCCTGGACACGCAGATCGCAGTGTGGTTGTGAAACATGATTGCAGGTTGGCAGTTGGTTCAGGACATGGAAAAACTCCATAATACATGTGCTGGTGGGGTTGAGTTCGTCCTAGTGGATGCAAGCACTGTTTTTGTGTTATGCTCCTAGTTGTTTTAATGACACTTGGCCCACCTGTTAGTAGATCCCATCAGATAAGAGCTGTGGTGTTTTCTGTAAACTTTTGTAGCTTGACAGAATTTAATTGGAGGTGCTGATGTTTTCTAGAGAAAGTGTAGAATGGAGTGATTGTCCTCCTTATGTACATTTATCTGCAAAGTATGTCCCGATGTAATGAGTTATTTACAACTTATGTGCCAAATTCTAATGCACAACAGAGGTCAACAGAGAAAACAAAAATGACCTCTTAATATATTCCATATTATTATAATGGTGTGCCTCAGTCACTTTGGTCTTATAATCCATGTGTCCTGTCAAAGCAGGTTATACTCGGTGTATGTGTATGATGACATCACTGACCTTGTACACCACACTGTCCTTATAGACCGTGTTACAGAAAAGTCTTTACAAACCACCAGAAAGTCTGAAAAAGAGCCTTTTTTTATATCTCAGTTGTGCAAAGAAAATCTTTTAATTTTAAGTCGTGTATAGGTTCGCTGATTTTTTTCATGATTTTTTATATGTTTTTTGTAGCTCTAGCACCACTGGAACCCGGTGTCCCCACAGCCCTGTGCCCAGTGTAATTTGCGAAAAATGTCAAAAATTGTCCCTCTAGCCCGACAAACGGGTGTGTGTGTGTGTGGAAAAATATCAATCATATGAGTATCTAACAACATAAAGGCAAGTAATGATCACCCTTTTCAAGACAAACTTCCTTAACAAGCCAGAAGGAGAAAGGAAGAGTCAATAAACTACTATCTTCTTGCCAATCAAAAACTGGGAAAAATGGATTATGATTAAATAAAAGGACACCAACTTCTCGCAAACGCCCACTCAATACTTTAGAGACTAAAAGCAGTGCAATACTAGGTCCAAGTTTTATAGGAACTGGGTATATGTTGATAACTTGTCATTTTTACAAGGCTAAGTTGGCATTTACAAGGTCAAATTACATAAATGCAGAAACTTCAGTCCTCCAATAAGGTTGTGCAATACCATGTGGTGTTCAACAAAAAATGGTTGGAATGGTGTGGTCCATAGTCATCTGTTATCACTAATGGATTGTCACTTTCATCGTTACAGATCTTGCTCTTAAAGAATAACTGGAATGCAGCGTCAAAGAATATATCCTGTAAACACAGTGGCCTGACCCTGAACAGGGAATGTGTTGACTAATGGTTTACATAACAACTAACATAATAGTCTGACTATCATTTATTTGGTGGAGATAAGAGAAGTCTTCATAGCTTTTTTTTTTTCAAAGTGCAAAGTACTATAAACATTGTTTAACTCAAACAAGTGCTGTTCAGCTGTTCTTCTGACTACTTGTTTGATACGTACTTCTGCAATTTTTTTTTTACATATTTACTGTACAAGTAAATAAAATGAAAACTTTTTTTATTTTTTCAGCTTTTTTTTTTACAGCCCAACTCTTTACTCTCCATATCTGTATATTTGTGCATTGCATAGAGTTATTTCTAGGCATCTGTAAGTATACAGATGTAAATATGTAGGTGTAAGTAAATCTATGTGTACTTACTGTCAGTAAAACAAATGCATAATGTCAAAGTGATTCAGTCACATGTACTGTTGTTGGCTACTGGTAATTCAATAGAAAATTGCACAGGTGAACGAAACTGCAGGTGTCACATGTGTACATGTATTGGCAGACTAGTTATATGGGTGTGCCTCACTAAGATGTCTACAATGCACCTTCAGGGATGGTTCCCAACGTACAAATCTTACAAAACCTCACCTTGACTGTTACTCAACTGAAATTTTTTGTGTCTTGCAAAGCCTTTTTTAGTTAACCCTCGGATGCATGTATTATTAAATCACAGAACAAAAACTAGATATCTTAACGTCTTTATATTTACTTCAAGACAATAATTTAATAATTTGAATCATTTATTTTTCTTTCCCAAAAATTTGAGAAAGTTACTAATCTCTCTGTTGTTGTGGACACCATGCAATTAGAGTTGCAAAGTAATATAAACCAATGACAGTTTGCAGGTAAGCAAAGAATATGCCATCAGTAAACCATTAGGTTTCACTTTATTTTGATGGTCCCTTTAACACATTCTGTTGACTATAAGTAATGTTGCACCTACATGTCTACTAACTCTCATTAGAGCGTTAGTAGAGTATTAGTAGACTGGTAGGGTTAGGGTTAGATTAAGTTGACATATACTTGCAAAGTTACTGATAGTCAGTGGAATGTCTGTTGGGAGACCATCACAATAAAGAGTTAGCAGATATTAAGTAGACAGGCTACTAATACTCTAATGAGGATGACATGTAGGTGTAGTGTTACTTATTGTCAACAGAATGTTCAAAAGGAACCATCAAAATAAAGTGTTACCAACCATTAACATATAACAGTTATGAGCTTATAAAATAGTATACTATAATAAATTACAAACTTTCTGGGTAAAAAAGACAAACAAACAAACAAACAAACAAATACTTCAGTATCTGAGAGGATTTGGCTTTTGCATTTCATCAGATATAAGGAAACTGACATACAGTGTGCCTTCATAGCTAATAAAACATTATGTGTGACAGGAATTGACGTTTAAGTAGGTTCTGTGTCTTTTTGTAAACCTTCTGGGGAAACATTGTTTATAATCAGATAAGTCATGTAGCCATTCAGATAAGATAAAACTCCATTTATCAACAAATTCATTTTGGCAATAGAAATACGAGCAGTTACTAACTGTTTGCTACTACCAGATATTGTATATCCTCATAACTAATACCATTAAAAAAATGATACTAACTGTTGATCACAGGAAGGTCATGATTGTATTATTGATTTTATAGCTGTTATTTTTTATTGATGAGTACTTATTTCCTAATTACTGATGGTATGGTATTCAGCTGACATAAGAAAGATCTAGTCAATCAACGTGAGAAATTATGGTTTGTCATGTTAGCATGCTGTTTTGAGAACAGTTACCTGAATATTGCACATACCATAATATAAATGTTGCACATGCTTGACATAAACATGAGGGGTTAAGCCTTGATGCTACAGGGGCTTTTTGTCTGAGCATCAGTGACAACAATATTATGCCTACAAAGAAGAAACTCACACATCATGCAAGAGGGAAACTACGAAAACAAGTAAACAGAACTTTTGGCAATTTTTTTTTTTAGCAACACATTATACACAAGAACCCAGATAATGTTTCTTCCTTTTTTGTCATAAGTATGTGTGTGTACTCTATGTCTTTGTAGGAGTGGCTACTTGATGATGTAATGACACACCTCCAGACCTTACTATAAAAACTTTATGACAAAAGGTGAGTCACATGTTCCTATTGAAAGCAACCGACCAAATTAAGAAGAAAGGAATTTCACTGTCATCTCCTGAACTTCTCTTCGGGAAAATCTTCAAGACTTAAAATGGCCAAAAACACCAATATTCGAATCAGTCTCCCAGCAGTCTGCTTTGTCTGGCAGATTGCGATGATTATCCTGTTTGGCGTGTTCATCCGTTATGATGAGGAGTCTGACACCCACTGGATCGAACACAGAAGAAAGAAAAATATTTCCACAAATTTAGAGAATGACTTTTACTATAGATATCCAAGTGAGTAACTAACATACTAGAATGTTTTGCTGCAATCTGTTGAATTGACTGCTATAGCATTGTTTAATCTCCTCTAAATCATATATGAAAGACTAACATTCTGTACTTCCTTTTCTTCTGTTACCGCAGGTTTTCAGGATGTGCATGTGATGATCTTTGTTGGTTTTGGATTTCTAATGACCTTTCTGAAGCGTTATAGTTTTGGTGGAGTTGGTTTCAATTTTCTCATCGCAGCGTTTGGAATTCAATGGGCTCTGCTGATGCAAGGCTGGTTTCATCACCTCGACGAAAACGACTGGAAGATAAAAATTGGGGTTGAGAAGTAATTGATTTTTTGTAATATACTTATTGACATTACAAAACATCACTGAAATGTGCAAATTCATGTTTAGGCTTCCTTTACCCTACAGCTCACTTGACTGACATGCTTTCTACAGGATACAGGACATTCCATGCGATTCCATGTTCCATTTTTGAAGCGATGATTAATATATTCATCTTTAATCTGTAGCTAAAGAATTGAACTGTCATTTTTCAATCAGCCTCATTAATGCAGATTTCTGCGTGGCCAGCTGTCTCATTGCTTATGGCGCTTGTCTTGGAAAAGTCAGCCCAGTGCAGCTGATGGTTCTTACTCTTTTTGGAGTCACCCTGTTTGCTGTTGAAGAGTATATCATTCTTGAACTCCTACATGTAAGTTTGAATCCACTTATTTTCTAATAGTTACCAACATCAGAGAAGGAATTTGTCATTTTTTATTATTTCATACATGCATAGGCGAAAGATGCTGGTGGTTCCATGGTCATCCACACTTTTGGAGCATATTATGGTTTGACCATATCTTGGGTCTTATATCGACCATTGCTATCTCAAAGCAGGCATTTACAAGGATCTGTTTACCACTCTGATGTGTTTGCAATGATTGGTGAGTAGTGAAAGAATGTCTCTTTCCCCTGTTGCATCAAGCAGGGCATAACAAAAGCCCCCTATACAAATTGCTCAATAATTTTTCTGAAAATAATTATGGAAAAAGAACAATGCAAATTTAAAGGCCTCTAGAAGTGCTGTTGATTTTCCAAGGTGTTTTAAGTACATATTGATTCAAATAACCACTTCAGAAAACTGTGCCATTTTCTATTTAATCATGTTTTTTTTTTTTCATTTTAAAGCCTCTAAACTATTGTAAGATAAAGCCCAATTTGTGTAAAATAATTTATTACAGTGCAGGTATTCTGCATTTTCCTCCTCTGCCAATCAAACCCCATTTACCCTTTTTCCTTCTTCCTCTTCTTTTTCTTTTTCTTCTTCTTTCTAATTTCATTTCTAATTTCATCAATCACCTTCAAGAAAATTGAAACTTATGAACAGGTCTGTTGCTTCAAAAAATATCCCATTAGCTACATGTGCGACATTTTAAAAATGATTAAATTAGAGATTGAATCAAATTTCACCCTTTTGGCAATGATGAAAAGTGCTGTTTTGCTATAGCTTGTTGCTAATTTAGTGTTGTGGAATAAAATATTATGAAAAGTGTCCTTCACCCCAGGGGCCTATGCCTGTTGTACCCAATAGGCTATCAAAATATTCAGAATTATTCCTAATTTCCGTCCCTCTTCCTTTAACAGGTACTCTCTTTCTTTGGATGTACTGGCCCAGTTTTAATTCTGCTATTGCAGATCATGGAGATGGCCAGCACAGAGCTGTTATAAATACCTACCTCGCACTGGCTTCATCAGTTCTCACTACCTTTGCCATTTCAAGTATCTCACAGAATAATGGAAAGCTCGACATGGTAACCAAATCTCTGGTGAAATTTTGAGTTGATCTTTTAATTTTTTTTTTTTTGTTCATAAAATAACCCTTAGAATTTCTTGACATTATTCAGGTACATATTCAGAATGCTACCTTGGCTGGTGGTGTTGCAATGGGAACAGCTTCAGAGTTCATGATTACACCATACGGCTCTCTGATAGTGGGATTCTGTTCAGGCATTGTTTCCACATTTGGATATCTCTTTCTGACTGTGAGTTTTGCTGTGTTTTATAGTACTGAAAAAGCTCAAAATAACATATTGAAGTACAATAAGCATATTATGTATTGATACGATATGTGTAATGGTTTTAAATGTTTCCATGTATTAGATAAGGCACTGTTAATTAACTTGTTAATCACTTTATATTTGTTTCCTTATCAGCCTTTTATGGAAAAAACTCTGAAGATACAAGACACTTGTGGAATACATAACCTACATGCAATGCCTGGAGTTATAGGTGGTATCGTTGGAGCAATTACTGCAGCTTCTGCCAGTGAATCAGTTTATGGACAAGAAGGGTAAGTGTGTGTGTGTGTGTGTGTGTGTAGCTTCTGTTTGTACTGTTACCATAAATGAAATTAAACCAAACTATTGCGTGACATGTCATACTGTGGTTCAGGTTGATTAACACTTTCGACTTCAAGGATGCCGTTGCTAACAGGACAGTCAACATTCAGGGTGGTTACCAGGCAGCAGGTCTTTTTGTAGCAATAGCATTTGGCCTTGTAGGTGGAGCTTTGGTTGGTAAGTGCAAATAAAGTTAAACAATTAACTACTTTAGGTGTTTTGATAAATATGAATTAGAGCTGGCATTTTATGTTGTGTAATTTTCCAGGTGGGATACTAAAGCTGCCAATATGGGGGGACCCAGCAGACGCCAACTGCTTTGATGATGATGTTTACTGGGAGGTAGTAGTGTTTTTTAAATGAACTACGTGGTATTGTGTAAAATAGAACTGATACATTTGAGGATTTCTATGTCAAAATAGTACTTGGTTTATAAATAGGGGGCAAACAGAATTCGTGGTGTTTATTTTTAGGTTCCTGAGGATGAGGATGAGAATTTTCTCTCTAGACACCAAAACATGAACCATGCAAGAGGCATACCAGATGTGTGAGTATACATTCTGTCAAGTTTAAAATCACTTGTGTTCATGAATCCCTATTTGAAGTGTGATGGGAACATTTTTTTACATCATAATCAAGGTGACAAAATACAAGTAAAAGCACCTTTAGCATGGTATACAATTATATTGATAAATATGCATTGTGAAATGAATATCAAATTACAGAGATTAAAGGGGTCATATGATGCTATTTTAAAGATTATTATTTTGTGTATTTGGTGTAACAGAATATGTTGACATGCTTTAATGTTCTAAAAACACATTATTTTTCAAATACTGTACATTATTCTAGTTCCTCTATGCCCCGCCTCTCTCAAACGCGTCGTTTTC